TCACAACACTCACACACATACGCTCACACACACACACACACACACACACATGGTTACACATGTTTACCATCAATTTTTTGGGGCGTGTGTTTTAAACTTGACATCCATAAGACGGGCTTGCATGGCCAGTTTATAATGTTCTGGGGGAAAAAAGTTCGCTCGTTCACACATCTCGTCTTTAGAATGTCGTCCTTTTTCTGCAAGTCTAAATTATTCGGATATGTATAAAATTACAATAACTGTTTAAAGTAGGTAAGTAAAACGAAACGATGTTTTTCCACGCCTTCGTGTGTATTAGGCATATAGGGCTGGACCTTTATTTAAAGACCAATCGGTTGGTGGGTGATGTGGTTAGCATGACACCAGCCACCATTACTTTCCAGCCCTGCACCTAGTGGGAGTCGCCGTGGCCGAGTTCTAGACGCTCGTCGCGGATCGAAAGGTCGTGGTTTCGCTCCCTGGCATAGCCGGACTTTTAAAAAAATAACCTTGGCTTCCATATCGACCCAGCCTTGAGTGGGTACCGGGTGCAGTCCCGGGAAGGTAAAGGCGGCCGGCATAATGCTGACCACATCACCCATCTTGTGCCTATTTATCTATAAAAATATAGGTCTAGCCCTGTATGCCCTATACGCCTGATGGCGTGGAAAAGGGTCTTTTACTTTTCTTTACTTACTGCCCCTGGTACCCACTCAAGGCTGGGGTTGACCTGGGTGACAGGGTCATTTTTGAAGGAAGCTGTCAGGTTCCGTTAGAACCTGAACCTACGACCTTCCGACCTAGAGTCTAGTCGCTATAGCTTGGCGACTCTCAGTGTTGACAGTATGGCCGTTAAAAAGGACAGGATCTAAACGCTATAGCATGGCGACTCTCAGTGTTGACAGTATGGCCGTTAAAAAGGACAGGATCTAGTCGCTATAGCATGGCGACTCTCAGTGTTGACAGTATGGCCGTTAAAAAGGACATAGTCTAGTCGCTATAGCATGGCGACTCTCAGTTTTGACAGTATGGCCGTTAAAAAGGACAAGATCTAGTCGGTATAGCTCGGCGACTCTCAGTGTTGACAGTATGGCCGTTAAAAAGGACAGAATCTAGTCGCTATAGCTTGGCGACTCTCAGTGTTGACAGTATGGCCGTTAAAAAAGGACAGAATCTAGTCGATATAGCTTGGCGACTCTCAGTGTTGACAGTATGGCCGTTAAAAAGGACAGGATCTAGTCGTTATAGCTTGGCGACTCTCAGTGTTGACAGTATGGCCATAAAAAAGGACATGGTCTAGTGGCTATAGCTTGGCGACTCTCAGTGTTGACAGTAAAAAAAAAAAAAAGTAAAGTTCCCTTTTCACGCCTTTCGGCGCATCAGGCATATGGGCAGAGCGTCCCATATTTTTACAGATCATCAGCACTCTGTGGGTAATGTGGTCAGCATTACGCCGGCTGTAGTGTTGACAGTATGGCCGTTAAAAAGGACATGATCTAGTCGTTATAGCTTGGCGACTTTCAGTGTTGACAGTATGGCCGTTAAAAAGGACATGGTCTAGTCGCTATAGCTTGGCGACTCTCAGTGTTGACAGTATGGCCGTTAAAAAGGACAGGATCTAGTCGCTGTAGCTTGGCGACTCTCAGTGTTGACAGTATGGCCGTTAAAAAGGACATGGTCTTGTCGCTATAGCATGGCGAATCTCAGTGTTGACAGTATGGCCGTTAAAAAGGACAGGATCTAGTTGCTATAGCATGGCGACTCTCAGTGTTGACAGTATGGCCGTTTAAAAGGACAGGGTCTAGTCGCTATAGCTTGGCGACTCTCAGTGTTGACAGTATGGCCGTTAAAAAGGACAGGATCTAGTCGCTATAGCATGGCGACTGTCAGTGTTGACAGTATGGCCGTTTAAAAGGATAGGGTCCGTGTAAGAGTTTTGAAAAAAAAGGAGGAACATATGTAGGTCTTAGACTGCTGGAAACTACTGATCTAATTTGGGGTTTGTTTGCATGCGACATCACAGTAATGACCAGGCCACCACAACCAGTGACTGTCAGTGTCAGTTCTAGGCAACTCAATATTGATGCGACTTAGAGTATGTTGTCAACTGTGAGCACTCGAGAAGTGGCCCTCATGAATTTTTATTGGATTTGCTCAAAGATCTGTTCAAAAGTGTATGTCTGTTCTTTTTGTATCTGACTGATTGACTGCCTGAATACACCGTGTGTGTCTTCCTGCTTCTGTAACTATCTAATTATCTGTCTGTCTGCTCATAGGTTTGTTTGTTTGCGTTTACATCCGTCCGTCCTGTCGTCCTTCCATTGATCAATGTGTGAAAATGTCTTGCTTGTTATGTCTGAGTGTCTGTCTGTTCCTTCATCTGTCTCTCTGTATGCTACCATTCTGTTCGTCTATCATTTCTGTCATTATGTCTATTTATCGGTCTTCCTTTTTTTTGTCATTATTTTCTGCTCAGTTTGTCCTTCCGTCTTTCTCTCAGTGTGTCTGTTCACAAGCTTGTATGCGTGTTTGTTTGTGTCTTTGTGTGTGTGTGTGTGTGTGTGTGTGTTTGGGCGTGTCTGCCTTTCTCTCTTTCTCTGTGTGTGTGGAGTAAATCCTCGTTAACACTATTTCTTTTAAGCAGAGGACTGGATTAAAATAAACACAATATTTGTACCAGCCGGGATTTATTATATTTAATCACCTGGTTAGCTCGCATCTTTAACACGAACTCTTGATTTTTCAGTCTGCTATAATCTGTGCCAATATTATTTTTTACTATATACATATATTATCAGAAACTACCGCAAAACAGTCAGTTATACGCGTTGTTTGATATTCTTGAAGGTTATGTTTCTATACGGGACTCTTACGAAAACAACAGATTTACTCACGAGTAGAGAGTAAGCAAGTAAGTTTTACTTCACCAAGACATCACACAGAGCGATAAACACCATGTAACACAAAATGCCACCAATCGGATGGGAATCACCAGTGGAGAGATCCCGGAAACCCCGTTCAATCGTTAGGTTGTATTAGGGCTGCGGTTAACGGCAAGGCTGGAGCTTCAAAATAATGAACAATTGCATCCCATATAGGGACGACGAATACCGCATTAAATATTGGCACACGGAAAGATATCCTACATATTCTGTGTATCTAATCATCAAAAGAGATTTTTGCTAGGGAGATTCAATATCGCCATTTTTTGGGTAGGGGAGGAGGGGGAGATCTACAGCCCCTTAACAAGTATGTTTAAAAAAAGACTAATTGTAAGAGTTTCATTCCAAGTACCTCTCCTTGACGGGCGAGGAACCAACAGTCTGGATTTAAAAATACAGATCTGTAAAACAAATGTGCTGTCAAAACTCAAGTTCTGAAACCAGACCAGTCAGTCCAGAAGTTGACCAGCAACCAGAACGCCGAGCTGAAGTTTACAGCCGGTTGAAGCTATGGAGATAAATCCTCATATACTGTCTGTTTTGTCTAATCTTAAATAGCGAAAATAAGCTTAAAAAAAAAACTCAAGCCCGCCCCACATATATTGCTCTGTCAGCTAGAAAGGAAACAGTCGGTCAGTATAAAGCAAACTCTAGTTTTAGACTAGGTAAAAATAAAGGAAGTCTACTAGCATTTACTGAAGCTAGGGATTAGAACTATTAGTTCTTGGCATATTTTAAAGAAAGTAGAGAGATCATGTCGTAGCAGACGACTATGAGTAGAGTTAGGCATGAGGCTGGCTACGTCATCCTCTAAAAATAATAGCCACAAAAACCAACCAACAATGGAATAATCTAAAATAGAAACAAGAAAATCCCAGCCAATCAAGTTGAGCGGCGGCAGCCGAAAAGAGTCCTGATCGTCTACGTATCTTCTTTCACCTAGGAAAACCTCTAGAACTTGCACCTGAAAAAGTGGAGAAAGGATCTATAGAGTGATGTTAAAAAAGATGGCGAAAACAAGCAAAGAGCTGCAGGCGAAAGCAAGGAAAGAACAACTTTGTTTGAGTTCGTTGAGTGCAAATGCTCCACTGGGGGTTGGAAAGGCATAGGACGAAAAAAGAGGGGTTAAGAAAACAAGGACGTCCGAGAGAAACCCTAAGCCTAACGCTGATGAGACAAGCTAGATGTGCTGGACTGCGTTCCAATTCCAATTCCTTTTGGGACAAAAATAAAAATAAAAAACTCAACCATGTTCAATCTGCAGCTAATTAGCCGAAGCTGCCAACAGTCTCCGGCTATATGTGTGGTCTTGTTTATTTGCGCCACTTTCGTGGCTAAAGTTCTGAAATTTACGCCTTCTCTAGGCTTAATGCTTCTTTCTTCTAAGTCAGACCGCTTATTCCCTATCTTGTTGTCAGCTGTGTTCTTCTTGGCCTTTCATTTCTGGTGTTTCCTCCTCGCTTTCAGCTCTTTCTGATTTAGCCAGGCGTATATCGTAGGAGAACGAGCTTCTCAACATAACACCCTTTGGACCACCATTTATAGTTTTTGAATTTTGGGTATTTTACTTAGCCAAAAATTACTGAAAACAGTTTTTGGGTTTGGATAGATCCGAAATGTGAAAATATTTCGCCAGTGGCGACTGCATTCCATGGAAGTTATTGCACAGGTTAGAATGGGGTCGGGGACTAGACCGTGAGCCCTATGAGGCACAGAACTGAAACGACAGGATCATCATCATCAGTTCTCGTTATGCCTAGTGGCACATGAGGCTTCAGAGAGGACTTTCCATGCTTTCTTGTCCTGTGCAATCTTCAGTGAAGTTTTCCATGTCAAAGATGCCGCACTCAGGTCACTTTCCATCGTTCGTCTCCATGTTGTTTTTGCGCGCCCCTGTTTTCTTTTTCCCTCTGGTGTCCATGTGAGAGCTGTTTTGGCAGGTATATCAGAAGTCATTCTCATAACGTGGCCAAGCCATTTCCATCTTCTCTTGGTAATCATACTGTCTAAAGTTTCTTGGTTTGTGGCTTGAAGTAGTTTAGTGTTTGAGATTGTATCTGGCCAGAAAATTTTGATAAATCTACGTAGACATGTGTGGTGGAAGGTGGACAGCTTGTGTGCATCCTTTTTGGTCATTCTCCAGCATTCCGCTCCATAAAGAAGAACTGGCAAAATGATGCTCTTGTAGAGTCGGAGTTTCGTTCCTCTGCAGTAATTGTTGGATTTCCAGATTTGCCGCATCCTTCCAAAAGCAGCTCTAGCTTTGTTCAGACGTGACTGTATGTCTTCCTCTGTCCCTCCCAGTAGGGACACCACACTGCCAAGATATGATGATTGGTTACTTATGGTCACTGGTCGTTAGTTTGAACTGTTTTTCATGATCTTAGTTTTCTTTGTATTTATTCTCAGTCCCACCATTTCTGCTGTGCAGTTTAGTCTGTTACTTTTCTCTTGTATATGTTCATGTTTATGTGATAGGAATGCTATATCATCTGCAAAATCAAGGTCCTCAAGCATGGTGAATGGAGTTCATCGTATACCTCTTAATGTCCTGTCTATTGTGTTCTTTAGTATCCAATCAATCACAAGGTTGAAGAGGAGAGATGAAATAACACATCCCTGTCTAACACCCGTCTTTACTGGAAAAGATGTAGTGTAATTTTTTATACTGCAGGAACAGTCTTTATAGAAGAGAGAAATTATGTTGACTATTTTTTCTGGAATTCCATAATGTCGTAAAATTTTCCACAGACCGTCTCTATGGACGCTGTCAAAAGCTTTCTCAAAGTCCATATATATATATACTTCTCTGCCCTTCGTTGCATTATTCTAAAATGTTACGTATGGCGAAGATGTGCACAGTTGTTCCTCTGCCCTTTCTGAATCCTGCTTGTTTCACTCGTAGGCATTTGTCTACTCCTTTTTCAAGCCGCATTATGATGATTTTACAAAATATTTTGCTTGGTACTGAGAGTAGAGTAATTCCCCTCCAATTATTGCAGTCTGTTAAGTCTCCCTTTTTTGGGGATTTTGACTATTGTTCCTTTAGTGCAGTCATCCGGCAACACTTCTTTTTCCCAAATATCCTTGAACAATGGTTCTAGAATGCTAGCAGTTATGTTGGGATCTACTTTGAGAAGTTCTGCTGGCAGTTCGTCTTTGCCTGGTGCTTTGTTGTTATTTAAAGTGTGGATAGCTTTAAGGATTTCTTGGAAACAACAGGATGATGAATGCATATCTTAGGGAAGACCCGATGACGAAACGGTGGGGTTTCAACCGCATCTAGTCTGATTTTTACTCTGTTGTTCCACAAACGACCTAGATTTTCCACATTGACGCACTATAAGATAGGTAACAGGTGAAGTCATGGGCAGTAAAGGGGACCGGCGTGGCGTTGACACCATCACTCATGGATTGCAAATTGATCTTTAAAGTTATCTTTTTTTTTCCCTCTTCTTCTCGTTCACCGGCTGAGAATTCCAGTTGAAAGTCCCGGCTTTTCGTCCATTTGGACTTTTGTCTTTAACCTGGACCTGCTTTTTGCGTGTACATCCGTTTTACTGGCTTATTTGTGTGCATTTCTCGTCCCCTAAAAGTTATAAATCCAGCTCAGGGTCTAGCCCTCTGATGCCCTAAGCACTTTAAATATTGTGATGCACGCCCTCCCCCTCTCCATAAAAAAATTATCAGCATTAGAAGCCCCTGGGAAAACCAAGTCCTGGGGTCCCTAAGACAACCCACTCACGGGGGTGAAGTGTAGATAGTCACTCAAGATGCACAGATTAGCATAAGGCCCTATGCTGGTGGGGAACTTGTGCTGCAAGTACTTACGAAGCCCACTGGTGCGCCCATAAATATGTAATTCAAAAAATAAACTAAAATAAACTATGTAATCAAAATGTATCTATCGAAGTTAAACAAAACTTGCATCTAGATGCCAGGTAATAAAAAAAATTTTTTGAGGGGGGGGGGGGGGAAGGGGAGGGAAAAAGGGGGGGGGGGTATACTTCAACGTTATTATAATTGAAAAGTTTTACACTATGTTGTGTGTGTGTGTGTGTGTGTGTGTGTGTGTGTGTGTGTGTGTGTGTGTGTGTGCAAAGTATTTCACCAGATCATCAAACTATTCGTGTGTAGCACATCTGCTTCTATACTTGACAGAGAGATGGCATCCATCCTGTCTTTCTGCTTTGTTGTTTTCTGACGGGATTTGTTTAATATTCTTAGAAAGAAACAAAACTTTCATCAGCAAGGCTATTGAAAATGTACGTGGTGCTCCTCTGTTTGAGATGCCCTAAGCCCGTGGTTAGTGTGATTAATTGTTTATCTGCTCCTGATCGAACATTCTATGGTCGACGGTCCTCAGTCTTGAAATGTCCTTTGTCTTGAAAGGGATCTCTTGAAACAGCTCTGCTTATATATATATATATATATATATATATATATATATATATATATATATATATATATATATATATATATATATATATATATATATATATAAATACTGTAGCTGTGTGTCCAGTCAATATTCTCATCGTGTTTCTCTCCCAGAAGTTTCTTAGATTTATTCAAATGATCCGGTTTCCATTTTTATAGGGCCAAAAGAATCCTAATCCGAAATGGTCTTAAAAAATAATCCTACATCCGTTGGGGATTGAATCCTGACCACTGTGTTAACATAATCTCATTTTTGCAATTCCAAACTCTTAGTGTGAGTGCTCACTACTATAAGTCTACAAGATGTTTTCAAGAATTACATTTTAGGTCATCATTTGCATCAATATTTGAGTGTTGTTCATATTTTCTGTGTCTGGAAACTGCACAGCTGTGATTTTATAGACAAACGATTAGAACATTGTTTGTGGATTTAAAAAATGTAATGACGATGTCTTGAAAAAATATATTAACTCACAAGGAGAACAAATTACTTCCATGAGTAGGAAATAGTTTAAGTTTTCTAGTCACGTCACCAGAAAGTGAAAACAAGTACGTGGTGACACCATGAAAGTTTAAGGAAAAGAGGAGCAGAGTGAGACAAAGAGAGAAGATGCTTAATATTTTCGCGCCAAGGCTTGGAGAAATTGATCAGCACCTTTCTGTCTTTCCAGACGATAGTATTATACTTCGCTATATGAGGAGGAATGGAACTCACAGTTCTTAGCGATGGCTAGTGTGACTAGCAAGACCCACTGGCGTTAAGAAACGTGTTCCATAATTATAGAATGGGATTTCAGGAGCATTGTTGTTGAGATTTGTGTTAAGTCGCTCAGCTCTTATCTTTCTTGCATTCCACCCCTCTCCCCCCCCCCCCCTTTTCAATCTCATTCTCTTCCTGATGTGCCCCCCTCCACACAACACGACCCATGGCATTTTATTCACATGAGTCCACTTCAAGGCAGTAAGGCTTGCAGAAAGATTGCATTAGAAATAACTGAATGTACAAGACAACCAGTTTTAAAGATCTGTCTCTTTTATATGCAGACTGTTGGTTGCTTGCTTCTCAGGCAGATGCATTCCGACTTCGAATGGAGCTCCCAATTAGTCGACTCTTGCGACATGCTTTGGGTAGGCAGTGGGTCTATTCTTGTTTTTTCTACAATAGGGCCCCAGAGGCAACACGGCTGAAGTCATGTCACAACTAAAGTGTGAGAAACCGCATGTCTCTAAAGTCAGTATTTGCTAAGGAAACAAAAATGTATGCTATAATATTTTAAATGAGTCACTTGCAACAAGCCCGCTTGCTATCGAGCAGTACAGGCTGATCGGAAAGTTGAAGGTTTGGTGTCCCCAGTTCATGTTGTTTCCAAATCTCTTCTGCTCGCTGCTCGTGTACAAGGAAAGCATGACTGCAGTGGGGAAGGGGATTGGGGAGGGGGGGGGATCAAAACCGCCATGAGGAAGTGGCTTAGAGCAGTATGTTGTCTGACTGATGTGGCTTAAACTGTAAGCAGGCTAAGCTGGTTCTTCCGTTCAAATCAATAGCCGAAGAGTTTCAAGTCCACAAGGTAAGACTCGCGATGATGCTACGCGAGTTTTCAGCCCGCCCCAAAGACAGGTACGAAATGAAAAGTTCAAAATGCGATAGAATCTGCTCAGAAAGCACTGACAGTGAGGAAATTAGTGGGTTACCCACAAACCGACCGACCCTGTCTAGGGCATGAAAAAGTCATTTGGTGATCCAAAGGTTTAGCTATACAAATTATTTTTTAAAAAACGCGTAGACATGGTAATTCAGCAGATAAGGAACACCGAAAACGAGACTCGAGTCCAAAAAGCAGCCCAACAGTCGCAGCAAGGCCAATGGTCAAGCTTCGAGATCTTTTGCCACGAATACTCCAATGCAGTGAGATCTGACAAATGGCCCCACTGCAGCTGACCTTTGTCATAAGATCTGTCTTCGATGTCTTACAGTCTAACGTCAAAATGACCAAGTGACGTATAAATATATATATATATATATATATATATATATATATATATATATATATATATATATATATATATATATATATGCATATATGTATATATATCCGCGCGCCCGTAACCACACACACACACTCACAAAAATACAAATACTCTCATGTACATGTTGCAACAGTTAGATGTAAGTTTCGAGAACTTAAGACAAAGATAATGTATTTTTTTAAAGCAAGCAAATATGCTCCAAATAAACAGATTAATTATGCTCGCTTAGGAGCTGAAGAACTGAAATTGCATTGTTTGACGAAGAAAGGTGTCATCTATCAAAAACGCATCGTTTCTCCATCACCTGATGTTAGTTTCCCTCCTGTAATGCAATTAATGACGTCGATACAATCTTGCTAGCCATTGTTGTAATCGTGTAAGAAGCTTAACGTGGGAATATATGGCGATAGCGTGTCAGGGCAGAAGATGCAATCGGTCGACATGCGTTAATAGTTATGTCTTTTGTATTGATAGACGTTAATTATATATGGAGTGCTCATAATCTTATTTCAAGTCTTTTCTCTCTCTCTCTATCTCCGTTTCTCTCTCCTTCTCTCTTCTCTCTCTCTCTCTCTCCGTCTATTTCTCTCCTCTCTCTCTCTCTCTCTCTC